AAAGGACGGTGAGTTGATTACCCAGAAAAACCCTCCTGGATTCAGGCAGATTTTTGCGAAAGTGGAATTTTAAAACGGTTCTTCTCGTTGATCTAAAACTGAGGTTAAGTCTTAATGAAATAAATGCTTGACATTCTTTTTTCTTTCTTTCTTTTTTCAAACCAAGAACGTTTCACGTGCTGCATAACTGACAGCTTGGGATTGAACACTGAGTTAATTTTTCTCCATGCATGAGGTAGGGGAGGACATGGTGTGGGTGAGGTATTCCTACACCAGAAACAGGAATCTATGACCTAATCCCTCCATTTCCACATCCCATCATCTCCCACCACCCCCTTCTCCCTGCCTACAGGTAGGGTTTATACTGGGGAGATTGAAGCTCAGGAAGATCATCCTCTGAGGTTCCCCCAAGGGATAAAGAGGCAGCAGAACAAGGTGAGCTAGAGAAGGAATGGAGGGTGTTGATGATTTAGCTGGCTGGGGAATCCAACTGCCTGAACACTTCCCTTGTGCACTTCTTTCAACCTGCTTCCCACGTCATTGTCTTCACAGCCGTGGAAACTCCTAAAGAACAGCAGCCAGTCCTGATTCTTCATGTCTGTAACTCATACCCTTCTTGCCAAGTCTCTCTGTTGAACTAAATTATGAATTATGCTTCTCAATCTAGGGATAATTCATGATACAGTATATCACTGAGGAATAAGTGCCCTAAAGTATTTTTCAATCAAGAAAAAAATTTATTTAATAGATTCATACGAACTACAGAAGAGACCACTATACCATGGCACATAACACTATTCAGAGCATATACTCTAATTTTTGTAAAAAGAAAATATATTGCAGGGATGAAAAGTTGCCTATATTTCTTATCGAACCAAGCAAATTCTTTCCTCTCCTTGGCCTCTCTTTTCATCAATGCCTCTCTTCTCAGAGGATTATACCCAGCTGCCTTAAAAAAAGTTTTACTATTTATAGCAGCCAAGCATCTTCCTTGTCTTCCTTCTCCTGTTTTTCATTCTTGTTTGTCATGGGCTGTTCTTGTCTGGGTTTGGTTAGATGTTTCCTCGGAGGTGCAGTTTTCTTAGAACCCTGAGTGGCCCTTTTCTAAAACTCGTTATCATCCTATTTTTACCTAAACTTTGGGACAAAGTTTAATTTTTTAAATAAAATGCTGTTTTCCCAAATTTGATGGTGCTTTTGTAAAGGCAAGAGTAGGCATGGAAGTAACTCTGAGCTGGGCATGTACCTGTATTTCTCCACACACACACAGGCCTACATATGCTTGCGTTTTAGAGCTACCCAGTCATAGGAAATTAGTGTTAATTTAAAATAAAGGTCATAGGAATGAGCTGGGCAGATGAGAAAAATAAAATGTAGGGAATAGCATGAAGTAAATAAGGAAAATGGGTCACAGAAAATAAAATAAACTTTCATAAGTTTTTTTCTGCTTGCAGAAGAATGTTACACCAGTTACTCTATCCCTTGACATAACTACTACTACTATTTATCATATTCCTTTCAAGGAATATTATATTCATATACTTATACATATAAATTGCATTTAACATCGCTATCCATTTCCCTAATGCAAGGCTGCTTTCAGCTTTTTCTTTAAATGATCTTGTAAAGCATGGGTTCACAACCCCTGGGCCGCGGATGGGTACCAGCCCGTGGCCAGTTAGGAAGAGGGCTGCACAGCAGGAGGTGAGTGGCGGTGAGGGAGAAAAGCTTCGTCTGTATTTACAGACGCTCCCCATCGCTCGTATTACTGCCTGAGCTCCGCCTCCTGTCAGGTCAGCAGTGGCATTAGATTCTCATAGGAGTGCAAACCCTGCTGTGAACTGTGCATGCGAGGGATCTAGGTTGCGCACTCCTTATGAGGATCTAATGCCTGATGATCTGAGGTGGAGATGAGGGGGTGATGCTAGCGCTGGGGAGCAGCTGCACATACAGATTATCATTAGCAGAGAGGTTTGACTGCACAGAGACAATAATAAATGAATTGCTTGAAGACTCATATCAAAACCCTATCAGTGAGTGGCAAGTGAAAACAAGCCCAGGGCTTCCACTGATTCTGCATTATGGTGAGTTGTATAATTATTTCATTATATATTATAATGTAATAATAATAGAAATAAAATGCACAATAAATGTAATGTGCTTGAATCATCCCGAAACCATCGCCCCCCCACCCCCTCAGTCCATGGAAAAATTGTCTTCCGTGAAACCGGTCCCTGGTGCCAAAAAGGTTGGGGACTGCTGTTGTAAGGAACATCTTTGTACCTGACTTCTTTGTTCAAATTTTGGATCCTTTCCATAGAATTGATCGTGAAAATTGTAATTATGGGGTCAGAAGGCAAAAACATTTGTAGGACTTTAGTTTCTGGCAGGGCTGTCAATTCCCTACGACCACCAGATTTTGAGAAACATGCTTTTTAATGAGAATTTCTTTGATAATATGAACATGATTCATATGTTAGTCATTTTAATTTCTTCTATGGTGATTTTTATACTCATGCCCTTTTTATATGGAAGTAGTAAGATTTTAATTACTATTTGTATGGCTTCTTTAAATACCAAGAATATTAACATGTTGTAGTTTTGCTGCAAATATTTTCCCTGGATTATTGCTTTGTTTATTTGTTTTTTAATTTTATGAATGTTTGATACTCATGTTTTAAAATTTTATGTCCTGAAATGCATTCATAGTTTTATTCAGATTTTCTACCATCCACTTTAGGTTCAAAAAGTCTTCCTTTTCTAGAGATCAAAAAGATATTGGTTTATTTTCTTCTATTGCTCTATGGTTTGAGTTTTTGCATGATTGTGCATAGTGGTTAAGAACACATACTACTTTTATTTGATTATGGCTCCAAAACTTAGTAGCCAATTGGCCTTGATTAAGCCCTTTCGACCTCAGCTTCCTCATCTGTAAAATGGGGATAATTATAGCACCATCACAGGTGTTGTTATAAGGATTAAATAAAATAATTTCTGGAAAGTATTTGTAACAGGGCCCGGTACATACTAATACTCAATAAATGGTAATAATTATAAATATTATTACTGATATATAGTACAAAATAAGACTTTAACATGTTTTTTCCCCCAGATGGTACATAGCACTATTTACTGATGAATCTTTCCTTTCCCCATTAAAGTGATTTCAGCCTATAATATGTTCTTGTACACTCTGACACCTGTTTCTGTTTTTCCCATTGATTTGTCAATGTGTTTATGTGTGTGTACCACATTGTTTTAAAACTGTAGCTTTATAACCTTTAAGAATATCATATAGGAAGAATATGTGTATAGGAAACATAATTCTTTTAAAAATTGTCATGATCATTTTCTTAATTCTTTTCCCCATATGGGTTTTAGAGTTATATTATAATTTAAAATTTTAATTGGATATTATAATGAAAATACCTAGCTATATCTCTAAATATACAACTTGATAAATACAGGTAGGAAAAATTTTTCATGTATTAGTAATGTAATAGATATAATTTAATGACTTTAATTTTTAGATAATATAATACTTTAGTTACAAGAGGAAATGATATTATTGGGGTGCTAGGAGTGGGAACAACAGAATGAGAATTCATTAGTGAATAAAGTCCACATTATAAATGCTTGCTCAATTTTTTAAGACATGGTCACAAGTAGCATAATCTATTATTTGTCAAGTGAAAGTGATACAGTGGCCATCTATTGTATGTAAATATTTTTATGCAGCAGCCCTTAACATCTGATATGATGCAGAGGAAACCTATGTAGACCTCAGGTTTTCCTGGGAATCACTGTGAATCCTACTAATAGGTGATGAAATTATTTCTGATCTTTGTGTTTACCACTGCAATGGTAGCATTTTTGTCAATAGCATTACTGCAATTTAAACTACTAATGGATTTTTTTTGTTTTAATTTCAGCAATAAATTTATTTTTAATAACACTACTAAACATTTTGTTTAGTGTTTCACAATTATTATAACCATAAATTTATAACAAGGATACCATTATAATTTTCTACTACCAATGGAATGAGTATTTTTATGTTTTAACAATAACACTTTTGGTCCTGAAAATTAATTGTTAATGATAAATAATGAATATCTGTAAACATTAAAATGTTCTTTAAGAAAGTGGGACTTTTATTTCTATTATGATGGGACTTAGGTGCTCTGATAAAGTGATTGTCAGAGTGTGAAAGGAAAAATGAAAACCTCTTCTAAATTGTAGGTAAAACCACCTAAATAAGACATTAAACAGCATTTGCAAAGGATTATTTTCAATATAAAAAAGCACCACAAAACGTGTTATAGAGTTCCTAACTTCAGTTTTTATAATTCCTGCTATGAAAATTAGAAGGTATAGAAAATACCTTCTAGAAGTTCATGGAATTCAGAAGGACTTCTTTCTTGACGCCTTGACATCCATGTTTGAGAAGAATTCTGGAAAGACTCTGAGATACTTGATGGTTTTTTTCAGAGTTGGATCAAGGGGTGCTTCTGTTGTCCTCTTTTTAAAAATTAGGAAGCATTTCAGGTATTCAGAAAAGCATAGATTAGAACATAATTCTGAGTACTCACCACTCAGTTCAACTAATCAAGCATTAGAAACACAATTGAACAGTATCTTCTTTTTTCTAATGAGAAATCTACCATTGAAATTACAGAATTTGGATGTCCTAGAATTTCCTTTTCCAGCATTCATTCCATCTAACATGTTCCTTTTTCCTTCGTTGCCATAAGGATGTCAAATGGATATAGTTGGTGAAATGCTCTCGGTACAAGTTGCCTGAACCAAAGATGGCTGGTAATCAGCAACTGTGGAAAGCAATTCTAAACAGTACAGCAAGATTGCTAGTATTTTCATTCCTGGGAACTAATGAACAACTGTCTTGAACCCCAATTCTCAAGGCTCCTCGAGTTCTCCTCTTTCTGACAAAACTGCTTTTCTAAACCCAACAACAGAGTAAAGGGAAAGAACCACGTTACCTGTCAACGCTGAGAGCGCAGAGATTGAGGACGGTGATCCCCACTGAGGACTTCTGCAAAAAGGGGAGCAACTTGCAAAGAAATACGCCAAAGTCATTGTGATTAAAAGGCCAGCGCCCAGCCAGCAGCTGAAAAAAGGAAAGAGCATGGTAAGAAATGGCAGAGCCAGCATAGGATACACGGACACTTATATTTCTAATTAGGCTTCCAAACTTCTAAATTTTATCGTTCACTATGCTTTTCAGTTAGTGTGGTAGCAATAGAGTATTATCATCATTTTTTTTCCCATATTTTAAAGCCTCAGCAATTTTTTAATCCTGAACAATGTGGAGAGTGATAAATATAATAACAAGAGATAAAACTTTGATCTTATAGGAAGTAGTCATGCCGCCTGATTTTCAAAGAGGAGCAAAATTTGGGGGTTTGGATGACAGCTTAACTGAGAAGCAGGCAGTCATCTCTGATCAAGTCTTACTAAATCATGAGTGAAATGAATCATTTTCAGCTAGTGGCACTGGGAGATTATATTATCTCCTGACAAGCAGCCAAAGCTCTGAATAAGATGTTCTGGAGAATACTGGGAAAGTGAAGTGCTTTGCCAGCTGGTTAACAGCTAAAGCCACTTGAAACTCACCTTTTCCTCCATGCTTAACTTGCTGCCCTGCTTCAGCAGGTGTGACACCAGTGGCCTATCTTTATTTAGGCTCAGATTTTCCTTTATCATACAAGAAAATGTGGTTACTGTGACCTGTTTGTAGCATTTGCAGGGACATCTATTCTTCCATGTTGACAATTTGAAATTTTTGCTCCAGGGAGAGGGTGATGACCCTCTAGTGGCTGTGGTGAGTAGCAAGAACATAAATCCTCTGTGAATTGCTGATATCTAATTAGAGATATCTAATTAGGTATCGTACTAGAATCGTGGCCTTAAATAATAGCTCAGCTACCTAAAAGGAGGAAGTCTCTGCTGAATATCTATGATGCCTTTTCAAGAGTAAAAATGGTATTGATGTCCTTTCTTATGTTTGCTTAGTGACTCAGAATTTAAACGTACTCCACTCAATAGGAAATAATACTGTACTAACTTGACAAACTTCTTATTTTTGCAGAGTACCTATCGCCATAGTAACTCTAAGTTGACCTTCCAATTTCGTTCTACCATTTCTAAAAGAGTAAGGTTTAATTTCATGGTTGGCGTGGTCATTCATATGAGTCCATGGAAAGAGGATAGGAAACTATTACCCGAGAAATACAAAATCAGAACTTATGCATTTTGAGAGTTTAGTAGCATAGGGCTATCTATAATTCTATTTTTTATGGCTAAGATCCTGTTTGACTTAATTTCTGATGTTCTCTCTTTTTGGTTTTCAAACATATTTCCCTTCTTCTGTGTAGTTTTCTCAAAGACCTCTTCCTTCAATGCAGCCCTACTGCTGGTCTCTTCTTCCTCTCACTCTGACTGGTCTTGGTTGGTGTCTTCTCAGAATTTCCATAAATACCTTTGTCCAAGGACAACCAGTAGTTTCTTCACAGAAATACTGCCCTAAACTCTGACAGTTCTCACGAAGCTAAAAAATAATTATACCATTGCTGATTGCTAGTTATGAATGCCTGATGCAAGTAAACACATAAAACATTATTTCTGAGATGAATCACCCCCTAAAAAGAAAACCTGAAAATTACTTTTTACACAGTGAGAGTTTACTATTTTGTCCCAGAACTGTAATTCTCCACTAAAGACTAGAGAGATGTAATTAAAATCTGTAAGTATTGTTATGGGATAAGTTTTGGAACAGTTGAATTGTTATGGTTCGTTCATTCCCAGAGACAGAGGATCCTGAAATCTATGTGGATGGATTTCCCAATTCACACATCCGACATTGAGAGAAAAGAAAAGGATGTTTCTGGCTTAACAAGGGAGACTCTGAAATCCTGTGCAGGTCTAAGTAACAAGTGCTAAGAAAAATGATCTGGGAGAACCCACAACAGAGCATGTATTTATTGTTTCAGGCCCTTGCAATCTCAATTGAAATATTTTTTTTTTTCATGCTTGCTTAAACTTTTTTTTTTTTTTTTTTTGCTTAAACTTTTAATTAGGATTAGGTGTAAAGGAAGCACTCAAGAGAAAGATATCATGGAGTTGGTGAGCACCAAATAGATCACAGAACTGTCTTTCTTTGACACAAATACGTGTTTGGTTATTTTTGTTGTTCTTTTTTTTTTTCTTTGCCAGAATTGATTCTTCTTGGGAATTACTGACAAAGGAGAATGAAAGAAATCACTGGAAAGAAATTTTAGGTACAATCACAGTGTAGACATCCCTGACGTATATCCACTTCATTCTCAAGGGATGTATGGATAGTAACTGTTCTCATGCTGCCAGCAGGAAATTAGGGTCCTACCTGCAGGCAGCTTCTCTTTCTGGTTAAAGCTGGCTTCCTCAAAGAGGCCCTGCTTAACTACCCAATCTCAAGTAGGACCTGCTTTCATGGAACCAATATTGGAGTAATCTTAGATTCAAAGACTCCTTTCAGCCCACTCTGTCTTAGCAAGAAAACATATACAAAAGGAAGACATCAAAGAGACATAGAGTATAGCTCACCTATTTTTCTCTTATTTAGAAGAGGCATTTTGGAGCTTATGAAAGACTATGGGAAATGTATCCTTTCTGTTATTTACTAGCATTTAAAATGGAAAATACAATATTTAAAATGGTAAAAGTTAAGCTGTATAAAAACTTGTATGATGAAAAGTTAAGTCTCCCTTCTATTCAAGACCCCTTAATTCCCTGCCCAAAGGCAACCACTGTTAATTATAAATTGTGTTTTCTTCCCGAAAACTCCCTATGTACATAAATCCTGTTTGTTTGTTTTTTAAGTCAGAACATTATGGAAATAATACCTTCCAGCAGTTTTTTATGATTTTGTTTCCTAGAGCAGACTTCTGGGAAGCAGTTCTATTGCCTAATTAAAATGTTTTGATTTTTTAAAAGCCCGTTGAGGAAAACCACTTAGACTAGGATAGGAAAAGATAAAGAACTGCTTAGCATAAAGAGACCATGGTAAAAACTAGTTGATTTCATTATTGTTAACAAGCTAATATCAATTCAATGAAAGAAAAACCAAACCAGTCTGACAAACTAACAAGTCGGATTGTTTCAAGGGTAAATCTGGCACCTTGGAGCAGTCATAGCTTATTTTTGCCATAAGAGGGTCTGTGCTTTCATGTAACCCTCATATTTATAACTTCCAAGGGCATCACACAGTACCTCGTATGTAGTAGGTGTTGAACAAATTAATGATTTCAACTCACTAATTCAGGGAAATATTTTCACATTTTGAAATTTGATAGCACCAATTTTCCACAGAAAACACATTCATCTTATAATTTACTTTCTATTTAAAAGTCATTTAAAAGTATCTGAAAGTAGTATTTCCACTCTTGTTTGTTGAAACAAACAAGGCACCGTTCAACTAGTTGTTGGAGGAGGTGGGAGAATACAGTTCTGTTGAAAAGTCCACGGTAAAGAGGGGCTGCCAAACACTTTGCTTGGAGAGCCCTCCCTTTGTGCTGAGACCGTCCAGCTTGATAAGAGCCACAGAGCAGGCACCTGAAGATGACGCCCGTCCTATGGTCCAATCGGGTTCTCAAGTGGACCACAGAGGAACAGCCCAGGGCAACCTAGGCAGCAGAGGGTCATCTGCTGAGCATGGATTTTGCTTTAGGACTTTTCTGAGGGGACTTTTCTGCAGCTGAAATGTAATTAAAGTCCTGATCTCCACCTGAAAACTAAAGCACTACTAAATGGCACAAATTAATGTAGAAATTCTGTATTTGTGTGGCTGATTCAGATTTTGGAAAAATCAACATAAAATTGATAGGCTGCATTTTTTAACCTGTCAAAACAGATTTACCTACGGACTTGTACCACACGATCCACCAATAAGCACCCTGTTTTTAGAATGACTTGATCCAAAAGCAGGATGTCTGGCCACTACTATATTTGGTACAAAGCAATTTCTACTTAGTTGTGATCTTTTATTGATGGTATGTACAACGTACCTGCTTATGTCAGCTTTCTGAAACATACCTGACAACCAGAAAGTAAGCAAAAATGTAAGGTGCCAAATGGTTGCTGTGAAATTTATGCCCTGAAGTTCACGTCCTTGACTTATGGGTGAACGGTCTGAGTCTTCCCCGCAGGTTGATTTGTTTTTACTTTACACCCATTTTTATTGTTCTTTTTAAATGGTTCTGTTATTTGTGCATTGCACATCCAAAGCTACTCATTAATACGAACCCTCCTGAGTAATGGTTCTCAGCCTTGGCTGTACCTTAGAATGATTGAGGGAGCTTTTAAAAATACCAATGCCCAGGCCATGCCCCCAGATGACTGCTCTTCGTTGTGGGGTGCTTTGTCTCCCGGGGAACATTTGGCAACGCCTGGAGACATTTTTCGTTATTACAAATTGTTGGGAGGCTACTAACATCTGGTAGGTAGAGGCCAGGGATGCTGTTAAATATCTTGCAATGCACAGGCCAGGCCCTCTAATGAACAGTTATCTAGCCCAAAATGTCAGTAGCACTGAGGTTAAAAACCCTGTCCTAGGGCTTCCCTGGTGGCGCAGTGCTTGAGAGTCCGCCTGCCGATA